GAAGTGGTGCGCTTGTTGCTGGAACATGGAGCCTCTTGTGACCAGGCTGTGACAGATGTCGGCGAATTTCCATTGTTCAGAGCTGCTGCAAACGGTCACCTAGAAGTGTTGCGTTTGTTGCTCCAAGCTGGAGCCTCTTGCGACCAGGCCATGACAGACTCTGGTGCAACTCCTTTGCATTGTGCTGCTCAGAACGGTCACGTGGAAGTGGTCCGCATGTTGCTACAGGCTGGCGCCTTTTGTGATCAGGCAGCCAGAATCAATGGCTGGACACCTTTGCATTGTGCTGCGCAGAACGGTCACGTGGCGGTGGTACAATTGCTGCTTGAGTTTAGTGCTGCTCATGATGTGATGACGGAAGATGAACTCGCCACTCCTTTGGAGCTTGCAGCTGAGCACAGTGAACACCGGCAAGTGGTGCATTTGTTGTTTGTAGCTTCGGCCAAGAGACTCAAGAGAGAGCAGACCTGACAGACCTGACACCTGATATCAGCTGCTTAAAAAAATCATCGAGCTGCTTGAAAAGCATGGCACAAGAGTCGGCACACCTGGCATGTCAGACATGCTGCAACGCCCGGTTTCAGGGCTTTATCCCCCCAACCCAGACGTGTGGTCTGGACCAAATGGGACTGACTCATCAACTCGCTGAAAGGTCCAAATCCTTTCGGAGGGGTTGTTGAACCTGGAGCCCCGACCAGTCCACCCAGTGGCGAGCGAAGGCCGACACCTGTTAGGTCATCAACCGGTCGGTATCCTGGCGCCATGAGCCACAGCCATATTTGCAGTAAGAGTGTAAGACTGTATCTACACAGGATGGCTCCTGCGCGGCCTTTGTTGATGCACATCGCATGTTGCAACGTTGTAAGCTGCGATGACTTAAACCCGATCATTGCAAGTGAGCTCCATCTTCCACCTCGTTGAAGCGAACACATCCAGCATGAATTGCTAAGCGTTTTGATTCACCAGAAAACACGAAGAGTGTTCCAGCCGATTCACGGGTTTTCCTACGCCTGCCGATTCACCCACCTCGAATCCCTCGAAACTCCGTCCGCCCAGGAGCCGATCAATTTCCAAGCGCAGCCGCCCACCGCGGGACACGTGTCTTGGCAAAGAACACGTGGTGTCCCGGTGCCGATTTTCGGGCACCACCCATGTCGGGCAGCTTTCAGGCCAGACACTGGGCCAGATGGCCCAGATGCGGATCGTCTTTGGGGAAGATGCTGGGTTGTTCTATCTCCAGGTCGTTGGGATTTGAGAGAAGGAGAAGATGTGCCTGGAGATCCCTCGACCCCACTGAGAAACCGACAATCCTGCAGAATAATGCAGAATCAAGGAATCAAATGGAATAACATATTTTAGAAAACACATAAATTGTATACACACACATGTTGGGTTGGATGGAAGGATGTTCTTTTTGCGCAACTTCCGCTGTGACCAAGTGACATAAAGGGACCACCACGATGTCCTTGATGTCCATGTTACCACCACGGCACGTTCTTGTCCGGCAAGCCGGGTGCAGTTCGGAAGCTGGCCATCTCATGGATCCGACCTTTGGATTCCCACCGGACCTGACATGAAACCCATCTCTTTTCAGGTCAAACGTCAAACGCCGACCTCGGCATGGCCATGGGGCCGGCCGTGCTCCTTTTCGCCTGTGCTCCTTCGGGGTGGTCGCTTGGTGCGCACGTCGCCCCACCGGCTGACGCGCGCACCTCGCTGTGGGACGAAAAGGACGTCTGGACGCCGCACGAACTCGCCGGGGGGGGCCGTGTTCGGCCAACAAACCCGAAGACATCCCAAAAGCATACAAGGTATTAGAAGATTTAAATGGTAGGGAGATACTAAATGGTGTTAGAAGATACTAAATGAATTTGATCTAAATTTGATACTAAATTGGTGGGCACCAATGGACCCGGACGTCGCAGAATAGGTGCCAGCTGAATCTGGTTCTTAACCACGCGAAGCGAGCGAAGACGAGAGGAAACTCCAGCTCAGTCTGGGCATGTTGGTCTCTTAACATCTCTCAACATGTCTTTTCGACTTGATCTGGATCTACACCTTCTGCCCAAGGCTGCCGCAGCCTCTGCTCGGTGGCCGAAGAGGCTGGTTGCTTTTCCTCCGACAAAAGAACACCAGAGGCAGTGATGGTTAGGATCTTCAGAACGTGAGTCAGAGATGTACCCTAACCCACAAACCATCATAGTTTCCATGCACCCTGCAGAGCCTTTTTCCTCGCCTCAGGGCTTTTGCTCAGTTTTCCGTGATGGCCTTTCGGGAGGACATATTTTGATCCCACTGATGACCAAGTGTCACGATCCACCCAATGTTTGAGCGGGCATACAAAGAGTGCCTTCCTATTTGCAGGTCCAGTTTTTTGCATCTCTCTGGGTCGATCGTGCTCTTTTGCCACGGGCTTTGTCAGAGGTCGTTGGGGGGGGGTGCGCTCCGCGCGCACTCCCTGGTGGTAGGAGGCCGACCCTGCCCATGCAGCAATTTTTGGATCGACTGGCAGGTGACCCCCAGCGACTTTACAGACATGGATAGAAGTGACTCAGTGACTATCACTGTCAGAGGATGAGTGCCAGCCACTCCAAGCACGATGCTTCTAAGTGCACCAATCTTCAGTCATGCGCAGAGATCCAAAGATGTTAGGGCTTTTCAATCATGCAGATGATTGAAGGAGTTGCGAGGACCGTCCAGCTCCACATCATGGAGAGATCTCCTGTATACTCAATGCTTTTGGTTCAAGCATGGGGTGGATCATGACCCGACAGAATCCCACAGATGCCAATGTTGCAGGAAAAACTGAGGCAGATGAATTCCCCTATCACCATTGGCTGCTTTAGCAGCCTGGTGACCTGAAAGGATGGGAATCAATTCATCGGTTCTTAAAGGGGATTCCTTTGTGTCAAAGTAAATAGACCAACCCCATTCAGCCAATTCAGTATTTTTTATCTGGAGGCTGGAGGCAAGTGCTCAAAGACTACACTGCCGTGAATCGCCACAATGAAGTGTTGTGCAGTAGAATAAGGAGGACACACTTGGAACTTCCTGCCGGTTGCTCAAGTGACTCAACAAACACAAGTCCCTGCTTTAGTGGAATTCGTTCATTTCCCAGTTGTTGTTTGTTGATTCTTCCCGGCGCCTTGACCCCTTTCGACCAGGATGGCTCCCTGATCGGCCCGAGAACCTTTGGTCTGACTGAAAGGCTGGTCGGACAAAGGTCCGATGGTGTTTCATGGTGTTGCAACGACAAGGCGGAAATCAATGATACCACCATCGCTTCAAGGAAGCTTCAAGGTTTGGTGTTCGGGGAGTTTTTGGAACTCGACACTTTCTGAAACCTTTCTGAGGTTTGATTTGTTGAACAAGAAGGATTTCAGCTCTTCCGCCTTTGCCTTCATAGGAGTCCCTGTGTATATTTGGCTTATAGAAGGCTCGCAGAGGCGGAGGATGATTTGGATTTGGAGCGCAGCCTGCTCGTTCCAAAGCCCTCAAAGGCCACCCTGGTCTGTACGAGTAAAGAGAAATCCACTCGAATCCCTTTTACTCGTATCCAAAAGCCATCGAAGTCGAAGATGCAAAATGCTTTGGATGCTGCTCACTGATTTCTGCTTTCAGGGCCAAAGATTGGCTCCAAAAAGCAAACACCCACTGTGCAAAGAACGCCAGTCGGATCAGACCATTCCAGGGGTCGGGAAAAACCGCGCATGGCGGACAGTGGTGGAATCCCTCACCCAATGGATTCACATACCGAACCTGAGAAGGTGATTGGACACTCCTTTCTGTTGGTATGGGTCCAAGTACCTGCTGAGAAGGTCTGTGGATCCATTTGGTCAGATGTTAATGAATCACGCATGGACCAACCAACGCAGGCCTTGCGGCCTTGCGCAATAGCATTTTTTTCCCTGCGCCCCCCGCCTCCCTGCATTTGGTGCTTCTGGGGAAGCCCCAGTGAATGTCCGTCGCGCGGGGCGCAATGGAAAAAGCCGCCAGCAGCTGCGCAAGCAGCGCTCGCTGCCGCCAGCAGCGAGCGCAAGCAGCGCGCGGATCCGGTGGTGCAGCTCGCGTCCCCGAAGACGGTGGCTTCGAGGTCCTGCGATGCGACGGAGGAGTTGTTCTGGGGTGACTGACTCCCCATCTCCGTCGCCATACTCCTCACTTCCATACATCACATCACTGGGTCATGGAGGTCTGTGGGTTCGAGTCTGGAATTCGCCCTAGCGACCAGGTCCCCCATAGATCTTCAGACCTCCACCAGGTCCACGACATCGCAGGTGTGGCGTGTTCAGTTTCCAGTTTGCACCGGAGCCTTTCGATGAAGGAAAGTGCCGTTCCAGGTATTCGAAGTTCACGTCGCAGCCCTCCAAGGCAGCCTGCCGGGATCTCTGATGGAGGGAACGGGAGTGCACAAGCCTGATTAGCTGATTGCATCATGGCGCGAGTGAAGAGTGGCACGTGTGGATTCAGAAGAGAAGTGGCTCCTAAAGCCGGGTTACCATCTACTCTGGCCGGGGCATTAAGAGACCATTACGTATGTTCAGTCATGGCTCAGTTTGTGACCACCTGTCGACAGGTCATGCCGGTCCACTACGTCCTCCAAAGGTGTCCAGTCTGATGTCGGAAAGCAAAGGACCTCACAACCAGGATTTCTGATTTCTCCAGTTCTGGAACCCTATATTATACATTAGTGCAGTGTAGTGTATATTATGTATACAGAAATATATACGTATGAACATTGCTTTACTTTGAGTGAGCCACCCTGGGGGGGCAATTTGAAAGAAGGCAGGGCACATGTGACAGGCTACCCTGACAAACGTGGCCTGACATGTGGATTGACACAATGTTCTGGCACTTGTTCTGGCAACAAGTCTGGTATGTGCTTTAGCACATCAACTACCATAAAAAGGCTGGGCTGTGTTCTGATGTCCTTGTTTGCATGTGTTCTGACATTTGTTCTGCTGACATGTGCTGTGACATATGGTCCGACTTCGGTCCTGGTTTGTGTCTTGCCATGTATTCCGACAATTGCTCTGTCACCCAAGAAAATGTTTATCTTGCATATATACTGGCATTCCATCTTGCATTCATTCTGGCGTTCCATCCGGCATATATTCTGGCATTCTATTTGGCATATTTTTCTGACTAGTGAAATATCTTCAGACGCTCTATCTGAGTATATTCCGGCACTCTATTTGGCACTCATGATGGCATTCTATATTTTGACACTCTATCCTTCATTTATTCCCGCATTCTCTGTTGCATATATTCTGACGCCCTATCTGGCATGTAGCCTGACATTCTTTTTGCCTATATTCTGGCATTCTATCTGGCATTCTCGTTGGCGCTTGAGGTCTGGTGCTGTTATTGCAATCCAGCAATCGCGGCTGAGGTTGATTGATGCTCACTGCAACCTTGCGCTCGTGGTTGAGTCCCGGCGGTGCCCACTGCGATCTAGCACTCTGGCTTGAGGTCCGGCGGGGATCTAGCACAGCCGGTTGCCTGAGAGGCGGCAAAGGAGGGAGATAAAATCTAAAACCCTCACCAGGCAGGTGGGCAAAAACATGATCATATATATATATATAAATACAACATTTACATGCTTCCTAGACAAGACATGAACACCAATCATGGTTCCAACACATAGATAAGCGATTCATCACAAGCACATATGAGATAGGATGCCATTGCTCCCAAGTGCCCAAGGTCTGGCCTTCGATGGCCCAGCCTTCCGAGGGCTTCGAGCCTCCATGTTCTCGAAGGCGCGCAGAACGCGCGCCTGTGCCAATAGAAGGTGCCTCAAAAGGACTTCGTTTGGCGCCAACGCGCGCCCGGAGGGTTACTCTCTGAATCCGGGCGCTCTTTTTCAGAGCCTTTCGGAACCCACAAAAAGGGAAGCCAAAGCAGAGTATCGATGGAAAGTGCTGCCGGTTGTGCAAAGTTCTTTTGTAGATCCGTGCGAAGTTGTTTCATATTTGGGAGGGCGATTTGTTCACATTTCATGGACGTGCATGCGAATGTGTGTGAATTTGTCCTGTTCTCCACGGGTGCCAAACCGTTTGGGGGGGAACGTGGTTGTTTACGTAGCTGGCTGGTGTCCATGTGCGTCCTATTCAACCTCCGCGGCAGTGTTGTGCATCCGCCCCATTCCATTTCAATGAACGGTTCCTCTCTCCATGAGGCATAGCAACAACGTGGTTTGGTTTCAGGTTGAAGATTGAGTTTCGTGGTTTGTGATTGGAGCCAGCACTTCGACAAACGGGGTTCCCGCTTGTTTACTTCTGCAGACAGCCTTGTGCATTGCAGTCACTGGGCGGCAAACGGCCAGGCTGAACAGAAACAAGCGCAAACGAGCCTTCGAATCCTGCCGGGCCCTTTGGTTGGGCAACTGGGCGGTGGAAAATTGTTCTTCAGAGAGATGCCAAGACTTGACGTAGATTCCCAGGACCATTGATTGCAATGTCCTAGAATGCAAAACGGTTTTCCGGATTTTTCCGGTTCTCAGGGACTTTGGGGTAAGTGCAGGCGCTCCCTCCCTTGCCTTCCCTCTGTCGATCAAAGACCCGTGCGATCTGGGATTTCAACTTGCCCGGTCGCCATGCCACACTCTTCGAACTCCATTTGTTCACAGTTTTCGCCCGACCTCGCCACCAAATTCCTTTTGAGAAAGGAACCCCATCAGCCCAGCAGGTATGCGCGGCCGCTACGCTACTTGTTTGTAGGTCCAGGTCTTGGGATCGGCACATCTTCTCAGCCCCGGCCCGGCTGAGGTGTGCACTCTATGGAGCCTGGGCCGGCTTGTTGACCACGCGGCCCGCGACCGCTCGTGGACCGACCGCTGTGGCTTCTTTGTTTGCTTCTCTCCTAATCGATCAGGTGACCAGGCTGACCAGGTGTTCTCCAAGGTCAGCTTGTGGGGTGTGGGTCATCTGCTTCATGGGCTTGGATCGACAGCACCCCAGTTTGAGCATTCAAGCAGTTTTGACTGCCTGATCAACAGCTCGGCTCATTCTCAACGTCTTGGATTTGCGACGCACCTGAAAGCCCTGGGCTTTTGGGTGGCCTGGGTCAGTCCATCCGCGCGCCCTCTGTTTCGGAGTGCCAGGTCCTCAAGCCTTACGATGGCATCAGGCCGGGCCTGGGGGGGCACCGAGCGACCCGTTGGCTCCGGCGTGGCGCCGGTCCGGCGTGGTCCATGGGCGATCCGTTGCGGTTCCATCGGGATGAAGGTCTCTTTTCCCCGGGCACTGAGATTTCTTTGTGAAGTTAGACATGTGAAATGAATTGAAATGATATAATTATGTAATTACTTCAAAAGAACTTCTGAGGTGACATGACCCAAAAGCCAGATCTACAAGTCGATGAAACATGATGAAAAGACTAAAAGACACCTGGTATCCGGCTTTTTTTGGCCAAGATTGAGTTGTATGGAGTCCGTCAGCCTTGCCCGGCCCTGCCCCGTGCCCCACCTTGACCCTCAGTTCGCTGGGGGCTTTTGACCCTACTAGGTTTTTGGGAACCAACATGTAGCAGTCGGTTCGGGTCCAAAGACGCCTTTTGGGACCTATTTTTTTGGGGCTTTCTCAATCACAGCAGTGACCCATCAGCACCTTGGTTGATTGCTTCGTTTCCTGTTTGCTGGACCCACAGTGATCGTCTGACGGCTCTCAAGATGAGGTTTCTCAGCCGAAGCTCAGATCTGGACATCACCAAACTTTCCTGGAGAAAGAATCATATCTGCCAGTCGGATGATATCCTACCATCTTTGCCATCTTCCTTTTCCTACAATCATCTCCGGGACCAATCCCTCCACCCGCCCGTCCACCGGGTTCCGGGAGCAGCTGAGCGGCGCTTCCGCGCGGGCGCGGGGGGGCTTCGGTGTGATGCGGGGGGGCTTTGGGGTCCGGAAGCTTCGGTGGCTTTGGGGTGCCACGTTGAGAAGTTGTTTGTTCCCCATGTCCTTCGATCTCACAACGTCCAGACGTTCCGAACGACAGACAGCAGCGAGCGAGCGAGCGAAAAAACACAGACCCAGACAGTGAACTTGATTTCGCTCGGCCGAGCATTGCAGACCCTACCGATTGGAGATGGCGTCCAAGTTGAAAACCTCCCGAGGAGCCCGGAGGTTCCGGCTTCGGAGGTTTGGGCAGATATAGATGCCCCATGGCATGCAGATTGATGGGTGGTGCATCTCAGTGACCCTCCAACCACTAAGGATGGGTAGTAGAAATAGACGACGTCGATGTTCCTCTATGTGTTGAAGGTGTGATTGAGTGAGCCTGAGCTTGAGTGAATCGAGCCACGGCCTGGGGCTGTGGGTTCTGGGTTCTTTCCAACACCATGTGTAGGAGGTGGACGGGGAGCTTTGACTTACTGTTTGAACAGCAGAGAACACCTTCAACCATCTGGCTGTAGTGAAATATAGGGTGACCAGCAAAACCCAACCGACGGCTTCCTTGGAAAAGAAGAACTCGACTGAAATCGCACATCCGTGGGTTGGAGGGTCTTTGCAGGAAAGACCATGTACGAGTTCTGGGGCGATCAGATCACTGCGGCGCTTGCCAAGGAGACGGGACGAAGCGACGCACGGACGAACGGGATTGGATAGACATGCAGACATGCGCGATGCAAAAGGCGGGGGAGTGGCGGGGAGTGGGTGGCTTCCCTCAGATTTCAGATGTGCAGACATCAGGTCAGACAGGTCAGACAGGTCAGACACCGTGGTGGTGTGTGGTTTTCCATGGATGGTCTTGTCAAATCCGTTCTGGTTTCTTGGAGCCGTGGCTTTGCTTTTGTGGGTTTTGTGATCGTCTGAGCTTGCAAAAACTCAGGACTTGAAGGCGGGGAAGATCAAGTACTTGGTGAACTGCGCCTCCCAGGCGGACTGCGGCGAGTGGCCGCCGGGACCGTCGCGTGGCGAAGTGAAGAAGACCATTTGGAGCACAGGAAATGCACGCTATTTTTGGGCTCCATCAAGTTGTTTCAAACTCCTCTATATACTTGTAAATAGCTCGTGATGCCATGAAACATGCTCATGACTCATGAATTTTTGCAGGGTCTACCACCAACCTCACTGGTGCTACGCCTCCCCCCAAAAAACAGTCATGGGTACGGGGTCAGGACAGTCGCAGCAGCAGTCAGACTGCCTGAACTTGGGGTGAGCTTGGCCTATGAAGCCTTGACTTAGTAGGTAGGATCCTATGAAGCACCCTGGTTGACAGATCACTGTGACATGGCAACTTCACAACAAATCACCACAAATCCACAGATACAGATTTCCACCTCAGCACGTGTCCCAGCTTTTTCCTCTTTCGACCTCCGACCACACCGAGCCCGCAGGAGTTCTGGAAGTCCATCCAGCCCAAGAAGCTTCCACCAGGCGGAGAAGCCAAGCCCAGCCGGACCGCCGAGTGGTCCGCCGGGTGGAACCCGGCGGATCGCCATCCTTCCCAAGGTCGTCTATGTCGCGGCTTCGGCTTCTTCTTTTTGATTCACCTCGTCCTTCCGATCGACCTCCAGCCCCGATCTAGATCTCTTAGTTCTTCAACTGACTTCTTTGACTTCCACGACCCTCTTCCCACCCACCCAATGGGGGTCCTCCTCGTTCCATGGGCGTCCGCACCGTTGTTCTCGGACGGTCGGTGTCTCGCCCTCGTTTTTGCCGGTGTCAGGAGTCCGAGTGGTGACCTGCGAGTTCTCCGGGCCTTCCAGTCTGGTGAAGCAGGTGGGTGGGTGCAGGGCACGGTTGGAAGGGGCAGGGGCTCGGTGATGAAGGTCAATGAAGGTTGAAGAGGGTTGGAAGAGAGTCAGCCCGGGTTGGAAGAGAATCCTGAAGTGGAAGGTCCAAGCCATGGAGATGTGGATTTTTTGGAGAGTTTGGAGTGTGGATCTTTTTGGGGAGCGAACCTTTGGCAGGGTTCCACCAAAGTCACCGGCAGATGTTGGAATAATTCTGAAGTGGACATGTGGGTGTAGAGGTACAGAGCAGACCAAAAGACCGATGCAAGTATACACATGAATGGAGTAAGATTAGAGATGGTGGTTGTTTGACCATTATGTGTATCTCCTGAAACCTTCCCACACCCAACGAAACCGTCCTCCGCGGATGGGGAGAAGCGGAGGACACGCTGTCTCTCCAGGCACGAGGGAGCATGTGCCGCTTCATCGTGACCAAGCGCATTAAAGATCCTGCGGGGTTGAAGAAGTTCACAGGAGAGGAGGAGGGTGGTTGGGCAGTTGGTGGGGTGTTGCTTTTTCTGTTCTCCCCACAGGGTGGTGCTGTTCGCATCATCCGTTTCAACCAGCGAAGCGAGCGTGTCTTTATTCCGAATGCGCAATCGCATGGAGACCGTAGGAGTAGCTCCAAACCTCACTTCTTTTTCCACACAGGGATCGTTTCAGCGTTTCGGTGTGGAACAAACAAACATCAGTCGAGGTCTTCCATGTGCGGCCGTTTTTGGTCCACCAGAAACGGGCCTTTTAAATGGTGCCTGCATATAATGATTATATATATATGTATATTATATATATATATATATATTGTTTTTGATACCCTTTCCATTTTTCCCAGCGGTGGCAGTGCTGGAGCAATGACCCAGAAAGAACCAGCCATGTTCGCCTTTTCTTTGGGCGCCCACTGTTTCTGGCGCCATGTTGCCTCCAGGCCTCATCCCAGTAAAGACATGCTAAGATCAAGCAGCGAGCGGCGAGCGGTTCTATTTTCGCCCCATGAAACACAGCATGAAGGGATCTTCCACAGAATTGGTTTGGACATGTTTGGACACTGCAGGACACCATCCGTTTGGGGGATGAACACGGTGGAAAACCATGGGTTTCCCGTCACATGTTCTTCTTTTCACCCACAAAGCTTCCGAGCTGCGTTGAACCGAGCTGCTTCAGAAGTGTCGGGCTGCTTCAGTGTCGTCTCGAGACAAGTCGAAATTTCATTGGTTGGACATGGAAGACCTACATAATGGCAAATGCTACTAGGAAAGCCTGCCTTTCCAAAGCTACATGGGAAAAAAAGAACATGGGGAATCCGGGAACCTTACGGGAATCCAGAAACCTTCGGAATGCAAGCGCCTCCCGCTTACTGCGCAAGGAGATGACAAGAACAGGCGGGTCTGGGGCAGCGCGAGAGTTGCTTTGCTGGACATCCCTTTTCTCGGAGGTCAACACTCCTGAGACAGGTTTGCTTCAATAGTTCCTCGCGGAGAGCCAGATGCCAGATGCCCTTGACAGTTTCGTGCGCGGTTCCAAACTAATTTGATTGAGCTCCAACTGTGGCCAGCTAGGTGCAACAGGTAATTGGACCCCCTTTGCATCTGCCTACTTCACACGCAGCACCACCTTCTCGGAAAGTTATTTCTGGTGATTTCTGCGATACTGTCTCTCCGTGACACGCTGAGAACATCCACAGAAAAGCGTGGGATCCCCATTTTGGGCACCTGGCAAGTTCTTTTTGGAGCGCATCTCACTTATACGTTCTGCTCCCGGTCCAGAGCAGTTCGAACCGTTCGGCGCCGAATTCGCCAGGCCCCGAAAACGGTCCTCGCTGCTCGACCCGAGCGACCATGAGACACGACTCCACCCCAAGAATAGGCTCCCCGCAGCGACTGGCCTGTGGCTGTCCCCGGTGAGGTGGGGGCGGTTTGCAGAGGTTTGGGAATGGATCGTGAAGACCGGTCACCTGAGCGATGGGGCGAGCAGTCCACCAGCTTAGCGAGCAGTCCACAGGTAGGCCGACACCGGTAGGTCAACCGGTGGGTCGCGTGCTGCCCCGCCGTCCGCGCCGGCCCCCCTTCCGTGGGCTCGCCGAAATGTCTGCGTCGTGCACGACCGGATGAGGTGGAGCTTTCAAGTGGGCCGGTCCAGTGAGAGCAAGCTGGTCTTCGCGCCAGGTGCGGGACGACTCGGGTCAGCTGCGGTTAGCGCCAGGCCCGAGCGCGAGAGGTCCCAACGTCCAGCGGGTCGTAGCAGGGAGTCCAGCGGCCGAAGCAGAACGTGACAGAACGAAGTTCCTCGCGGGACGTACGTGCCCGACGTCATGCGTGGCAGGCAAGAAGAGGGCGGCAGAAGATGCAAAGGCTGGGCCTCTTTAGAGTTGATGTCCAAAAAGCTTTGCACCAACCAGTGGGCAGGGAGTGAAGTCAACATGGAGGTGGCGTGTGCGTGGCTGGTTTTTGCAAGTCACCATTGTTTCGTCAAGAGGGTTTGACTCAGAAAGCTATGAGGACGTTCCGAAAGCTCTTGACTCTATGAGGCTCAACAAATTCAAGCAATCAATAGCGAAAAGGGTCTCAAAACCTCTGAGAAACCCTGAGTACCAGCAGCCTCAGCAACTTGCGAAGTCGCATCTTCCCAACAATGAAGCTCCAAGTGATCACACTGAGCAAGGTCCACTTGCAGTGAGGTGTCATGCCCTCCCATGGCCATGGCATTCACGTGTCCTCCTTCCGGTGGGTGGATCGGAACGAATGCATCGGTGGGAACCAGGTGGCAACAGGAGCGTCAACCAGCGCAAGCAAACCCTAGGCTTCCTGGCCCACCAAGAATTTAAGGGGTCTTTTTAACAGAAGCTTCATTGATTTTGCTAAGTTTTACTTTTATACTACAAAAGCATGTCATGGATGTTTTTAATGGTCTTGGAAGTCTTGGAAGTCTAGGGAAAGAAAACAATCCAAGAATCAACCAGTGATATTTCCTGCAACCGGTTGTCTCTCCCTACGTCTTTGCGCAGGTTCCTTTTGCACCTAGCAAGCCCATGAGGAAATTAGGCAGATGGATGAACCATGATGAACCTATGTATGCCCATGTCATTCTTGACACTGTCTGGGGAAGTCTTTTATTTTTTTTCAATTTCAACTTTTGCATATTTCAATTTCACTCATTTCCCTTATTTTTCGACCTCCGCCCCATGGTTCGCTGCGGGAGACCGCTGCCTCGGCCCGGGGTCGAACGGCCCGGTGTGGCCTTGGTCGTCCAGGCGTCCAGCAAGCGTGCCAAGCGTGCCAAGCGCTCGTGAAAAACCGATTGGAGCCATGTCGCTGGGTGTTTCGGTCATGGGAGACGCGAGGTGGGCGTGGAGCAGCTGTGTGAGCGTGGAGCAGCGAAACCATGAGCTTCATGGACATGATTTCAGTCTTCGACTTCAGGACGTGCAGGTGTCTTCAACCATATATATCGGCAACTCTTGTAATTCATTTCGATTCGATGTATATGGCTTCATCCACAAAGAATTGAATGACCTTCTCTCACGGAGAAGGTAGTGTAATGATTCCAAAGACCAGCTTCGAGCTGCTACCCGACAGGTCCAAACAGGGGGAACCTCACGCTCACACACACAGCCATGGCCTACAGCCATGGCTTCGGTTTCATAGGGTGTTGGGAGTTGTGGGTAACGCACGCTGTTGCGAGCACAATATTGGAGGAGTTTGCTGCTCCGCAAAACAAGTGCCAACAGCTCAAGAGCCTGGAGCTCTTTGTCTCTATCCACATCCACTCCTTTCTGAATTGGTCACTCAACTCTCAACTCTCGGCCCCACTCCGTCTCTCCATGGCGACCCACCCCATCGAACACGGTGGAGGGACCTTCGGACCTTCGCGGGGCACTCGGAGCTTCGTCGCCTTCGGCTCCGGACCAAAACCACCTCTTCACTCGCTCGTTCACACTGAGTCACTCCCTTGTTCGCCGCTGCCAGCATAGGGATGTTGGAAAAAACCGCTGGCTGACGCAGCCACCCACCCCCTCGAATTGACATCTCCCTCTCCGCAGGCCATGTATTTCACGGCTCTTTGGAAGCTCCGGCTCCTCGCGATGTCGGCGCCCAGCTCTGTCGCCTCCTCGCCGCCGCGCCGACCTCGGTTTCGCAGCGAGAGGGACGGTGGGTCTCCTCCACTGGAGGTTCCCGCCGGCACCGCCTGCGGGAGTTCAGTTGGGGCTGAGCTGGGTCAAGGACGTGAGCGGCTTCTTTTCTTTTTGAACACCTCGACTCTTCCCCGGTCCATTTGTCGCAGGTCGGCCATGGAATTCCATTTGGGGAGAATCCCCAAACCTCTTGCCCTGGCTGGGTATTTCCTGGTATTTCCTGGTTCCATTTTTCCGAACCGAACCCCCAAACCGGTTCGCGGGGGGGTCGGACGGGTCCGACTGCCCACCCGGGACGAGCTCGTCCTCCGCCTCAGGCGGAGCACGCCGCATGTGCCCAGCTTTCGACCAGAAGAGCTGCCGGGGGCCCCAGGCCTTGGAGAGGCCAAGGCAGCTCGGGAAGTTCGGTGGATCAAGGTGGTTGAAGCGAAGCTTGGGGGGGAGGGGAAAATGGGGAGGACCTCACCGCAAAAGGAAGGAACTGGAAGAAAGCTTCATCTGAAAGGTACAGGAAACTGAAGGAATCAGGTTTGGATTCAGATGCAGCAATCAAAGAGAGGAACTCCGGAACACACCAGGAGTTTCATCATGGCTGGTGGTTGTCTAAAGGTGCGCACCCTGCAAGCGGGTCACACTGCTCGCCTCAGGCTGTGCACTGCGCAAGCCCAGGATCATTTGGTCAACACAGATAGACTACTCTCAGACTTAATTGGTGACTTATCACATGGTGTCCCCATGGTGCCAGGGTCACGTCTGGAACGTCTTTGGGGGGGATGGTGCACCGTGTGGTCAATTGTGGTCATCTAGAAGTGGCTTCGCCGGGGATGCCCGGGGGCCCGGGTGCATCCAGCCTCGTGAGGCCAGGTCACCAAGTGAGGCCGGCCCAACAACCTCTTGTCAAAGACCTGTTGTAGGATTGGCATTGTGCAAAGGGATTGGCATGTTTCTCAGTGGTTTGACGCTGTCAGGTCGGATCCTTGTGGTGATGGAAGGTTGAGACCAATAGAATCGATCCACTCCTTACGCAGACTCCGTTGGAACTGGAGCCTGTGCTGGTGAGAAGGTCAGACCAAGATTTCTCAAAGTTGATGGAAACACTTTCCCTCCCCCAATCTTTGGGCTTGCTTACAAACATGACACATTCTAAATGAACTCCGCCACCTGCCTAGTATATATAGAGGCAGGCGCATGGGTTGGGTTGTTTTTGTCCGGTCTGCATGCGCGGTCGACCCTGGACTCCGAGGATTGATGCCCACCAGTCCGAGGCCGTGGGGAGGGAGGGCACCTCTTCGGTCTCCGGCTCCGCGCCTGGTCCGCGCCTCGCAGCTTGGCTGGTCGAAGACCAGACGCACTGTAGGATACCGTCGGTAGCAGCGTTCGCAGTAGACCGGGAATTTCCAATTTGGGCGGCTTTTTCCTGGGTGGGGGTAAGATCTTGTTCCAGAGACCCGTCAAGAGGCTGGCTTGATTGTTGGTAAACATGGCTTGGCAGCGACATGGGTGGGATACTGAACGGTCTTCGCCTGCGAAAGGACATGTTCTTGCAGGTGTTGTGGGCTCGTGGGTCTTCCTATCCAATAGCAGTGTTCGGCTGCTGGGAATGGGGAACCTTATAGAACTTGCATATATTTGGGTCTATGGTATGTAAGTCGCTTCTTGAGCCAGCAAGATCTCAGCCGTGGGGTGACCTTTGGCATGCTTTGGCGGTAAATCCCAGGTGCGCCACCAATGAAACGAGTTGATTGGAGAACACAGGGGTGCGCCAGAGGCCATATCCAGAAGTGGAGGTCATGGCATGTCGAACCAGGAACTGCAAAAATGAGAGAGAGAGAGAGAGCTTTTCTTGGTGCTTTGGACATGAGATCATTAGAATTCTCCACTGATTTGGCTCAATCTCCTTCCGAACTGGGTCGCACTCAGAGGAACCCCCTTCACGGCCGCAAGGACACCATCCGCCGGAAGCTCTTCCAGACATATGAGGTGAGCGATTGGGCTTGTAGGACATTTGAAGTGTTTCGATCTGAAAAAGGATGCGAATGATTCGGCCTGAATGCTTCTGAGACCTCTTTGGAAAAAGGTAAATTTGTGGGTGAAACAGAAACCCCCTTCTTCGGCCCTTTTCCACCTCCGGGAAAAGCTCCGAGAATCAGCGACCGCTTGTTTTTTTTGCAACCACGAACCGTGTCTTCCACCTCCCCCCAAGTACCAGTGCTTTTCTGCCCAAGTTCATCCCCACCCCTTAGGTCGTCGAACCACTGGGCGCGCGCGCTTTGGCGCGGCAGGAGCCGCCGCCCACGGTGCGGGCGCCCCCGTGGCGGTCTACGTTGACCAGTTCCTGCCGAGGCCGATACGACGGCGGTGTTCGAAGACCTCTTCAGGTCATCCGTCCTCATCCGTCCCTCAAGAGTTTTGTTATATGTACATGTTGTATGTACACGTTATATATGTCATTACTATGGTTGGCACTAACCACAGTTCTGTTTTATACATCACTTTCTCAGGGTTTTACTCCAGAGACTTTGATGGGGCCCCCCCAACACCTCCTTTGGCTGCCCGAACACCCCTGCCATGGGGAGGGTTTCTTCTGTCTGACTCAGCTATTCATCACGTTTTCATCCATGGGTAACACGGAAGAAGACATGGCTGTGGGCTGTGGGGAGGCTGGCAGCCACCGAAAAAGGGCACGAGCTACCCGGTGTCGGTCGACTGGTCCGGCGATGTGACGCTTGGACCCATCGAATTTGGGGAAAACGCTCTGGACGAATGACACTGGTCATCCGAATGACTGGTCATCCGAGCCTACAAACAGCAAATTCCAAAGCTTCGGAGGATCCCCATGTCATCCAAGCCCGCTCCCAGAAGGTCGGGACATGTTCCTTTGCTCGCTCGCATGCACGTGCGTGCGCCGGAGACACGCCCTTGCTGTGTTGGATTTGTTAAGGCGTTGCCCAAATGCCTAAATGCACCTCAATGAGGATGTGGGTGGAAATAGAAAGATCCTCCCAAGACCTGCAACTCGGTGGGGTGCGGTATCGGGCTCCCCGGTGATTCTCCGCTGGTAGAGGGTGTGGAATTGAAGTGAAAGATGGTTTCAGCTCGTTCCTCACAACCCAGCCTTTGAGTTCTTCCTCGGGATGCAGGAGAGGAGGATGGGACAAACCCAGAGGCGATCGGTCGTGGGAGCATCGGGACTGCGAAGAAACGAGAGTGCTCCTCCAGTCATGGGGCTAGGGTATGCTAGAGCTACAGTTGTTATGATTATAGGGTCGCTTTCTTCAAGCGGACTGGTTGGCCGCTTTGTTTTATTTGATTCTTTGCCCCCTTCTCAACATGGTGGAGTCGGAGTTGTAGCTGCTATGTGCTTTGGAATGCCGGGTCGTTCGCTCTGGGCGCAAGTATTCAAAATTTCCTGGATTTGATTGAATGCTTTTCAAGTGGCCAGGGTTTATGCCATACCTGTGGCATACTGAAGCGATTTGTTCAATAGTCGCCTTGCAAAGAGTCAACCAATGCCTATTCATGAAGCTAACAGAAAGGGAAAGTTCACAGAAGAGGGGGAACATGGGAAAGAACAAATCAAGAGATGGAAAAACAAGTGATTCACTTGCCAGAAACTCCCAAACATTTGTAATTGGAGGAACTCTTCCATAGGCGCGAGTCAATGATCCGCCAGATGGATGGGCTATATTATATTGTTACAGTTGGTGCCTCCCAAAGTGCAACGATTGGCCCTCAGCACCAAGATACCAAGAGCACCAGAGGTATCCACTCAGTAGCATATATCCAGGAGTTTCGAGTTGTCCAAGTGTGAAGCCTATTTGTATTTATTTGTTCTCTGGAAGACTTCCTGAACACCGAACCTAGAGGGTGCTTTTGACATGTTTTTTGGGGAACCAGACCCAAGAACTCAGGTCTCGCCAGTGTCTTCGGTCAACCGAACGCCATTGGCACCGGACCTTCCAACCACAAGCTGGTGGTCCGAAGATCTCCATGTGTTTTCCGGATCTCGGATGCCGAAATGGGCGGATCAGCGAGACTCCTGCGGTTGGTTGGTTCTTTTTGTGAGGCCTTGGGCCACATCACCCAGGAGCTGCAGCAGGCCAAGGCACAACTGGAGGAGGAGACGGGATTTGGATTTTTGGGAAGAAGGTGTGGGGGGGAAGGCACTGTTTTCTTTATTTTCAGACTCTAGGTGGTGGGACTGGGCAGTGCTTTCGGTTCCCAGGCTGCAGTCCACCACACAGTTCACTTGCAGGTTTGACTGAAGCTCAGCCACTGCTTGTCTAAATCTCGCGTTTGGAAGGTCTGTTATTCACCAAAGGTGGACTCCGTTCTTGCATAAGCCCAGAAAGCTCCTCTGTGAAACATTGTTCAGCTCCCATATGAAGGGATGAGGTGACGCTAGAAAGGCTTACATACTGTAATTTTAACCAGCCAAGGATAGTTCGATGGGAGCGGGTCTTTCCTTCTTTGGGCATTGACCAGGTGAAGCCCTTTTAGCCAGGTTTGGATGTGCTACATGCCGGGGCTCGCACAGCCAAAGGGTATAGGGTACTAGGAGGTGGACGGAGGTGGTGCAGTAATTCT